GATCGAGTATTCGAGTTAGACCGCGATCGAGGCATCTCTTGGTCGAGACCACGCACGCTCTTTTCGTCTTTCTTCTTAGGAAATTTCAGTGCTACCATCGACCAATCACTTCTTACAAAACTAATGCAGATCCATGGTGACTAGTGGCCGATTGCCACATGATCCGAACCTCGATCTCCCACCCGCGGGAATGGAGGTCGGCAATACTACTTCCCTTAAGACCGACGACAATCTGGAATCTGGATGGCGGCGACTCAGATGACTTGATGAGCCAGCAGATGTTTCTTTGTGACAGAAACAAAGGGTGAGGAAGCACAGGTTCTGAACTGCAGAGCAGAGCGGAAGAAGCTCACCACAATCTACCTTGATCGATCAGTGTGATGTAAGTCTGTTTATCTTGCTTTGATAATACTGATTTTGCTTCCATCTTAAATGCTGCACAATGATTTTGTGTAGACATTCAAGTTTGCCTGCCGCTGAAAACCTGAAGCATTGATATACGGCCTGGTAAATAAAAGCACATATAATGAATTACAAAATGAAATGAAAATGAAGAACAGTAATGTGTGGCAATTCTGGCTGTAGTTTTCGACGATTCTGTTCTTTAGGAGTTTTTTTCCTATGAAGCTTGTTTTATTTGTAGGATCTAGAACCATATGAATTTCACTATGGACTACTTCACTTGCGATTCAAAAGTCCTCATGGATTGTTCCATTGTTTCTATGACAACTATGGCAATTAGCTGATAATTCAAGAACGTTTATGCCTTTTCCTATGCTGCAACCAAACAATTTCTAGTACTTATTCATTTTAATTCCTGTATGACTCAGCATGCCATGACATCTAATTTGCACATTTTTTCTGTTTCTGCATTGGATAAAGAAAGTCAGTCTTATCTCTATTGACTGATGACTTGGACTAACTAGTCACTAATTGCACTGACAGTCGGTGCAACTTTCCGCTAGCGATGTCAAATCCAAGAACTTGGCAATTACGAATGTCACACACAATGTTTTCTCAAAGTTAATTTAACTCTGGGTTCAGGGAAGAAACACACTTGCCTAGCTTCAATTCGCTAAAGCCGGGCAAGCGTCTCCTTTCTTAAAAGAAAGGTATTTGTCCTGTTAATAGAGAATGATGGTGGCACAGTTTTGGCCGTCATGGGAATGGGAGCATAGTTATCCAAACTTTTCTATTTACAAAACAGTAGAGTGATCATCTTTGTGTGAGTGAATTGCAGAAAACCACCACATTGAAGCCTAGGGTTGCAGAAAAGACTCTTCTACGATTTTGTGCCAGAAAACACTGATTTTGGTCCTAATCATTTGCAGAAAACACCTAACCGTCTGTTGGGGCATTTTAAGCACTATTATGACAGGTGGGGCCCTGTTTCGTCTACGTGGCGTCACGGCCGGCAGCTGACGCCGTCTAACGGCGTGATTGCCGCTACTGCTCCGCCGTGTGGGTAAAATCTGGATCAATCCAGCTCTCCCCTCACACTCTCTCCTCTTCCTCGCCCTCTCCTCACTCTGTTCTCACTCTGTTCTTCTCCCCCGGCGCCGCCACATCACCGACCGTCGTTCTGCTGCTCCCCGGTGCCATGGTGTCGTGGAGCGACGAGACCAGTGAGGATTCAGTGCTGAACATCTCCTCCTCCTATGATGGCATCATCAAGGTCAGTTCGTTAGATAGCTAGAGCTAGGGTTAGGGTTAGTGAAATGGGGATTTTGTCATTGAGCTCGATCTGAACCTAGCCTTCTCTTTGCTTGCTCCCGCAGCTTCCTGCTACGATGCACGATCCGAATTTCAATGGCATTGACGCAGATGTGAATGTTTTGTGTGAACACAGTGAGCCGGCCGAGCGCTTTGTTGCATTTGAAGGGATGCACACGGGCAGGAGGTTTCTTGGATGTGCTAAGAAGGTATGATTCACATCCTGTGTAAAGGAAGCTGTTTGCTTAATGCTTTGTTTATCAAGCTGTTAATATTTTTTAGCTTGGTCTTTGTTTAGCTTGTTCTGACATGCCTTGTCATTAGTGGAATGTACACATTGTTTATATTGGTCAGTGCTAACTCCTTTGTGTCTCAAGTTGTTAAGCTTGGTTAAGTGCTTTGTCTTTGTTTAATTTGCTTTAGCCACTGTGTTGGAGTGTGTTCTCATTAGTGGATGGTAGTATTTGTTTATTATGGTCAGTGCTTAATGACTTGTTTACTTGTGTGGGCATTGTTTACTTGTGTGCTTTACTCCTCTGTTTAACAGTGCACATATTAGATACCTGAACCTGTTGGTTTGATGATACCTGAACCATAATTAATTATTTCTTTTATTGTTTATAATACAGGAAGGCCTAAACTGTTGAGTAGTTTAATGGATTGATTTTGAATGGCCAGACTCAATGGAGAAGGCATTGGCCAAGCTATGGGATATGTATGAGGAGATTAAGTCAGCTAGGACCAATGACAATCTAGAGAGTTCATTTGCAATCCACAACCTGACAGAAGAGAAGAAGAAACTACAGGAGAATTATGACAGTTTGTATGCTGATGTGAATGCTCTTTTGGATGCCCAGCAGCAGAGGGGTGTGGAGTTAGCCAATCAAAAGGAGCAGAAGCAATATCTTGAAATTAAGATTGCCGAGCTAGAAACTGTAGTTGGCAACTTGAAGGTAGAGCTGTCAAAGAAAGAGGAGGAGAAGAAGAAACTACAGGAGAACTATGACAGTTTGTATGCTGATGTGAATTCTCTCTTGGATGCCCAACAGCAGAGGGGTGTGGAGTTAAAGAATCAGAAGGAGCAGAAGGAATAGGTTGATGTGAAGATTGTTGAGCTTGAGATTGTAGTGGGGAACTTGAAGGCACAACTGTCAAAGACAGAGGAGGAGAAGAAGAAGATGCTGCAAAACTATGAAACTCTGAAGAACCTGGCAGGTGCTCAAGCCAATGTGATTAGGAACTTGAAGTTCAATCATTTGAAGGAGAAGGAGAGGCTGACAGAA